GTACCATTCAGACGGGGGCATGTCAACTTGTAATGCAGGCTGGGTTCCTTATCTGGGAGTCTTGTTCAACTACAGATCCAGGCCCAGAAGACCTGGGGGAGCCTGAGACTGTGCATGTTGAACGGGGTGCCAGGCGCTGCTGTCCACGGCCCACGCACTCTGAGTGTGAGGAGCTCTATGAAGAGTGGTGGGCAAAGCCAAAGTAGGTTTTCAGTTGTGCGTACACGAAACTGTTTAATTTTTCATACGAACAATTGTAAATCTACTTTGTGGCCCCCTCTCCCCGTATCAAGTGGCCCATTGACAGGCAGACTTGGAAGTGTCGAGAAGGAGCACAAATGCTTGGGGGTTGCTCATCTGGGAAGGGCATGCCTCCCTGTCCTCACTAGCTCCCTGAGATTATGCCAGCTTCTACACCAAGCATGTCAAACTAGTAGTTGGCGGGCCACATGCCTTGTTTGTTTACACCACATGTGTCAAACACAAGGCCCGCGGGCCAAATCCGTCCCGCCAGGCCTTGCAATGTGGCCCGCACCGCGCTGTCATCACTGCACTCCGCTGCGTTTCCATCACAATGACAGTTTATGACTGTTCAGTAAACCATTCGGCCTGCGATTTAGGCTGGATTTTAGATTTTGGCCCCTTCTCTGATTGAGTTCGACACCCCTAGTTTACACCCTCATCTCTGGTTCAGGCCTTACGTGACCTGCTCAGGTGTTCCCCAGAGTCCCTGGGCTCAGGAGTTGGTAAATGGACCTGCAGGACAGTTTTTCAAGGTGTGTGACCTCTGAGCCACTGGCTCCAGATCTCCTGGAGAAGGGTCCCTCCCAGTGCGGAATTCCAGACGGTGGGCCTCATTACCGAAACGGCATCCTCAAGGTGCCAGGCATGTGCCGTTTAACAAGCTACAGGGGATTCTCTTCTGCAGAAAAAAACTTGATAAACCTCGGCTCTGGAAGCCACTTCCCCAGGTCTAGCTGACTGTCCCACTGCTGTGTGGCTGACCTCCCATCTGGGCTCTGAGAACCTCGGGGAGGAGTGCAGCGGGAGTAAGGGGTGGCCATGAGGGGGAAAGCAGGCCAGAGAATGGCCTCTGGTAGTTATTTCTTAAGCACAGGTGGATGTTTCTACAACAGGCTGGAAGGAGGCCGACAGCCAGGGAAATGAACTTGAATCACTGTTCCAACGCATACCAAGGCTCCTGTGACTGCTCCGAGAACATTTTCTGGCTAACAGACCATCCTCCTCCCCTAAATCTGGCTGAGACATTTGTGAACTTATTTGTTGTGACTCTGTGCCTCAAGATTCCGAGGGCTGGAGAGGAATGACCCCTAGACACCCTTGTCTATCTTGGGGGACGGTCTGCTTTGCTGTGAATTCATCAGAGCACACAGCATCAAGTACATGTCAGACCTAGGTCTGTGTGGGTGCTGAGTGGCCCCCTTTTGCACCTAATGTTAACGACCACTCTTCCTGGTCTTTCTGCGCAGGCTCGGCTTCCTCTCCATGCTCACCTGTCTGTTGGGCGTCTGTGACCTGCCCTCACTGGGCGACCTGGACTGACGACGCTCTGGGGACTCCCAGTCGGCTTGGGCCCCTCGCTCCTCTGAGTTGCAGCGGGAGACATCGGGGGAGAGAAGATGCTTTCGCTCTTTCGATCGTCCCCGCTCTCTGCCCCCGGAGCGGTGGGTGTCAGACTTGTGGCCTGGGAGAGAGGACAAAAGCAACTGATCACAGCTCAGCCCACAGTGGCCGCTGAAAAGGAAGAGAAGAGAAAGGCCCGAGAATCACCCTTGGGCGACCAGGTGAGTGTGCAAGTTGCCACCGGAAGCCATGCATGTCCAAGGATGTAATCATCTCTCTCCTGCTGCTCTTTCTGCTCCAACACAGTTTAGAATCATTGCCAACAAGAGGGCCCAGCAATTCCCAATGTCCTGAACATGGGTGTAACTTTAGGGGGTGAAGATGGCAGCAGCAGAAGGAAATGAAGAAGTTGCTAGGAACTAACTACTCTGGTATTACGTCAGCTATGACACTGAGAACCCTTGGACATCAGTTCGAGTCTCAAGTTTGCCACTTACTGGCCCCATGATACAGGGAAGTCATTGCTTTTGTAATCACCATTCATCTAGCAAAATAAAAAAGCTCCAATAAGCAAAGCCATGCCAGGGAGCACTCTCTGGGTTGAAGGGGATTGGGCGGTTAAAGCCCAGCCCATTAGGGGTCTCTCATACATTCCCAAGAAACCCCAAGCATTCTGCAGACACGCTGAGAACCTCGATTCTAATGACGTCAATAGCCCTGGTCTGCAAGGAAGACCCTCCTGGGCCTGTTTCAGGGTGTGTGTCAGATATGGGACCCCTTTGGTAAGGAGCATTCTTCCTTAACCCTTCCGGAATTCTCTTCCAGAGATCTCCAGGAGCCCAGAAGGCGAACAGGGCAGACCTCCTTACCCGAGTCCGAGTTCAGGCGGTGGGCTGACAGCCGGAGGGAGGAGTGGTAACTCCGGCGCCGGGACTTGTAGGTGTTCTCGCTGCTTCGCTCCATGGAGAATTCCTCCAGCCACGAGGAGTTGGAACGCTTGTCCCGGATAGTGGAAAACGAACGTCGCATGGAGCCGGGGTCTGTTACTACCTGGAAACATGAGCCCCCCGAGGAACACAAGGTATGGATTAATCGCCGAACCGGTCTCAAAGAAAGAAGTGGGACTGAGGTGGCTGAAGATGGCAAACTATAACCACCCCTGAATCCCTCTTGCTTAGACCTTAGCTGGAGGAGGCTGTGGCGGAAAGTGTCTTTATGTTATGTCTTTACATCACTGGCCCTTGAGCAGGAGAGCAAGTGGCTGAGCCGTACTGTGCAAGCTTCCCATAAAGCCCCCTCCCCCAGGGCCTCAGCCAGGACCTGCAGTGAACCTTAAGCACTGCAATATGTGAGGGCAATTGTCGAAACGTCTGTGCCATGAAAGAAGCATGGCCTGGGCTTTGGCATTCACCAGAGAAGGCCTGTCCCATAGTACCAGAACGTAGGAGACCTTGTCATGGAGCAGCTACTAGGAACGTGTTGCTCTCCATCCCACCTCCCACCTTAAACTCGGCCATTTTGATTTGCTACAGCTGCTAAAAACAGATCCACGTAAACTTCTTGTCTCTGTCAAAACTTAATGTAAGACAGACAGACAGAAAAAAGCCAGGAAGCCAGGAAAACAGACAAAGAAATGAGGCATGGCCTGTACTGGTTAGGACAGACAGTCCCGACACAGAGCTGTGTATGTTTAAGGAACTGCCTACGTGCTTGAGGAGCCAGGAAAGGAAAAAGGAAGGAGAAGTACAAAGCAGAAATCCTGGGAAGCCTTTCTTGCATGGCTGGTTGAGTCTGGAGGCTGTTGTGCTCATCTGGAGGGGATTTTGCTATCGAGGCTGTTGTGCTTAGGGCTCCAGGGAAAGCACATGTGGAGGAGCAGGTTGTGGAGAGAAGGCTCGTGAGCCAGGTTTTGCTCACAGGGAAGGTGTGGGGGCAAGTCTAAGGCCCACCTAAAAACAGCAGAAGTTTTTTCCATAACCCACCAATTCAATACAGCCCAGGATGCCACTGCATATGGGAGGTAGTTGCTTTTTACCTGGGGATCCACAGTCAGGCGTGGCATAGAGGATGCCCTCCCCGATCCCGCATGCTCCTGGGTGTCCGGAGGAAGGTAGATGCCATGGTTAGAGGGCTGCACGCTTTTTAATTCACTAAACTCTGGCTCCTGGAAATAAACACAGCCAAGCTTGTGGGACTTGGTTCCATCTCATTGCTTCTCATTTCCAGTGGCTGATCCTGCCTCCTCCACACCAAGAATGGCTTTTGGAAGAGGGACTGGCATCTTTAGGTCTGTTTTGTGTGTGTGTATATGTGCAGATATGTGTATACCAGATGTCCCAAACAGTAAAGATCACTGAGCAACACCTCAGATTTTATAGCTTTATAAAAAAACATTATAGGTCACGTTTTAGATATGTGAAGTTTACTTTTTGAGAGTTGGTACTGTTGGGTTTATTCTTTTAACCTAAGAAGCTATTTGTTAATTGTACAGAAACCAAGATTCTAAAGAAAATCAGAAATATCTGATGTCAAATTATTTTCTCAAACTTTAAGACACAGGATTTATTAGCAAGGAGTTTTCTTATGATTGGAATCATCTAAAAAAAAAATTTGGTGGGTGGACATCTGTCAGGGATGCTCTAGACTGGTAAAGTATAATAGAAATACAACGCAGACCAATTATGTAATTTAAAATTTCCTAGTAACTACATTAAAAAACATAAAAATTAATATACTTATGTAACCCAATATATCCACATATTCTCATGCCAATATATAACCAATGTAAAAAATCCAGACATTTGACCCTTGGTTGGGTATCAAAGTCTTTGACATTGGTTTGCATTTTCCACATGGAGCACATCTTAGGCCCTCCATCGTCACATGTAGGCAATGGCTATTGTACTGGGCTGTGCCACTCTAGAGCAGTAGGAGGTTGGAGTGACTATCTTTAAAGTCCTGTCCAATGCTGTTATTTTCCTGGTCAAAGAATGCCAACAAAACAACAACAAAAAAAAAAACCACACAAAAAACAGTGGTCAGTTTTTGTGGTTTTTTTTTTTTTTTTTTTTGGCAGGTGTACCTGCTCTAAAGAGCTGGCTAGTGTCACTCCAGAGAGTGGAGTTGCCTCAGAAATTTTACTTGGCTCACCAAAGAGACCTAGGAATATCTCAGACATCTGGACATGATACCAGAAAAAAGCTATTTTTGGAAATGACACTGTGAAAATGCTGGCGTCTGAATAGGGCGCTGTTGAAAGTCAGCCTCCCTGACCACTGGCTGGGCGGTGTCTGTGGGCGGACCGCATCCCAGCACCTGTGATGTGAGCATTTGAGGAAGTCAGTGTGTGCAGGACATGCTTTGTATAGTACACAAGTCTGATTCGAAACACATGTGGTAACGCACACGCACACACACATACACACGTCATGGCCACGCCTCAGCACGTAGAGCAGGGCCCCCGAGGGATGGGCAGGAGTACACAGTGGTGAGTGTGGAGCACAGGCTGACACCTGAATCACAGACACCGGTACTGACAATGAGATGGACACATATCCAAAAGTCCTGGCACTATGGCTCAGCCCTGGGGAACCCGCAGAAATAAAGAAATCTCCCTGTGAAAGGAAAGGACACATTATTGAGATTTTTTTTCCCCCCACCAGACACATCACCAGGCAAGCCTTAAAATGCCGAGAGGCCCTTTTAAGGATCAAGCTATCAGTACCAATTAGTCCCTGGGCCTCGGTGCTAATTTCCTCAGAGAATTCCTCCCAGGCTTCCTACCCACCTTGCCAAGAATACCCTCAGGCATTCACAAGCTGGCATCCCAGTGTGTGGTCCAGCTGTCTCCCCTACCTAACCAGGTCCACTCCCTGGATTCAGAAACCACAGGCGAAGAATCACCCATTTGTCTGAGCTACTGAATGTTCTGCTCCCTCAGACATACAGGTCCTTCTCCACCCACACCATCCCCCCAGGATAGCTCAGGGGTACACAGGAGCAGTCGGGGAGGGGTTGGGAGAGAAAAATACAGATGGATTATAATCAAAGTAACATTGATCTTGGTACAGGCTGTCTACCTGGACTTTTGCAAATCTTGGGTTTTGTCTTTTCCTCTCCAGGCAATAAACACTTGAGCTATAATTCTAAACTCGGGTGGGAATTTGATGGCTGCTGAGCTAAGAAGAACGGTAAGTCAAGTCTGTTATCTTTGGGAATCGCAGTTTAGGGTTTGCTAATATTAAAGTTTAACCTATCCTCTCTTCTTCCAAGCTTAGATTGGACTCAGTAGGTTTCTAGGGAATTTCACCATTAATGCTAATGAAAAACTTTGGATTCAGGAAAGTGATTTCAGGGACCCTGTAGGATGTGTTTGACCCTCTAGAACAGTGGTTGGCAAACTCATTAGTCAACAGAGCCAAATAACAACAGTACAATTTCAGAGATTGAAATTTCTTTTGAGAGCTACATTTTTTTTTAAACTTCTTCTAACACCACTTCTTCAAAATAGACTCGTCCAGGCCGTGGTATTTTGTGGAAAAGCCACACTCAAGGGGCCAAAGAGCCACATGTGGCTCTTGAGCCGCAGTTTGCTGACCCCTGCTCTAAAATGGTGGCCAATTTGTCTGAACCTGCAGAGGCAAGAGCCTTTTGCATGTCCTGGTGGACACTGTCCCAATTGGACAGGCTACCCCTGAGTTCTCCAGGAGGCTAAGCTGCCCAGTGGTGCCACTCATTCTTTGAGGATTTCTCCTAAAGTTCCTTATCAAAGGTAAAATTTTAAGATGCCCCAGGGCAGTGGCTGCAAACTCATTAGTCAGCAGAACCAAATATCAACAGTACAATGATTGAAATTTCTTTTGCGAGCCGAAAACAGACTTCTGTGCTTGGGCCACAAAGTTTCAATTGCACTGTGCGTGAGCACCTGCACATGGTATTTTGTGGAAGAGCCACATGTGGCTTTCGGAGTCGAGGTTTGCCCACCACTGCCCCAGGGCATCAATGAATAGGGGTTGGCCTGAAGCAACATACATCCCTTCAGCTGATAAGGGGCCCTTGATTGAGATGGTAAAACCTACAGAGGAAGCATTTGTCAGAGAACATGAGAAATTCCACCATGAAAGGGAGACAGCAGGGAACTCCTGGGGTCCTTGGTGGAGGGAACAGAAAGGGCTTTCAGGTGGATTGTGGCTACGAAATCAAATTTGGAAAAGAGTGGGAGAGATCAGCAAACCAGGGAACTGTTGTGAAGTCTTATGACTCATTCACTCACCAGAGCCTGCTCCTCCTGGAACTGCCCATCATCGGCTGGGTCCATACATGCCAGCTGGAATATTTCCTGGGGGGAGAGCGGACTCATCGAAGGGTACCCACTCCGGCCACTCCTGAAAGGCAACGCCACGTTCAGAGGTAATGAGTGCGCCAGCGAGAAACAGACACGCCATCGCCGCCACTGCCCAGTCCCAGCCAGGGCAACACCCTTTAGTCTTTGTGGGCTTTTAGCTTACAGGTAACTGGCCCTAGAATAGAAACTCTTTAAAAAAAAAAAACCACAACAAACCAAACACACACACACACACTGAGAAAGCACTGTCTCCAACCTGCCTTTGGAACCCTTCCTCCCTCGGCTGGTGACTCATATCTGTGATGAATGACATCATTTGTCACACTCAGCCATATGGAAGACCAAGGCTGGATTGTAAACCGGTTTCTCCATTAGGCGGAAAATGCCATACTTTACACAGCGAACAGTCTGTTTAAATATTAAGCAGTCGTGGTCTTTTAAAAAATCTCCTCCACGCTAAGAAGATGGCATTATTGTGCCAACATCCCTGGCCAAACCAAACAGTGCAGTGCCAGACACTGTGTCTGTTGTCAGGAGCTCGGTGGAAGGGTTCCAGAGGGCGGTGCGGAGGTGACCTCCCTTGGGTTGGTGGCTCTGGAGAAGAATGCTCAAATGGTGATGTAAGAGAACACGACAAAGGCAGCCAAGTGCTTAGAGACACTGAACAAAAGGTATGGGAAGCTGCCTGTTACTAAACCACCAGTTGGTCCGTGTAGACACTCTTAGCCAATGCGATCCACGGGGCTGATTAGAGAGTAAGCCAATTTTCTAAAAATGTGGTTGCTGCTGCCAAGTCACTGGTAACTAGATACCCTTTGACCTGTGTGAGAGTGAACTTCCTGATCCTGGGAGGAGGGACAATGGTGACTGGCAGATAGGAGAGAGATGAAGACCATCATCTCACCATTGTGTCTACTGCTAATGGCTCTAAGTCCTGAGCAAGGGCTGCCAGTTGCTTCAAAATATTCCACAGGTGCGACTTAACAGAGCGTCTGCTATTCAATGACTTAATCCATGTCTTCTCCTGAAAACAAGGTGAGCACTGCTTTTTAAGAAATAGGTCCCCCTTTGCCCTACAGAAAGTGATTAATTACCCACAGAGAGAATCCCCAACAGGAAGAGAGGACCCTTAGAATCACTGAACAACCTCAGAGTTAACCTTTTTGACCTTCTACTTCAAAAGCATCGTCTGCTTCTCGTTGTTAGGATTGAGTCCAGAATCCTGAACATGGCCTCTCCCATGATCTGGTCCTTAAAGTCTTCGCTTACACACTTCAGCCCTTGCTCCCTGAATTCCAGACACACGGGACTCTTAGTTCACTGACTGTGGCAGGCTTCTTTCTGCTTCAAGGCCTGAATATAGGCTACCCACTAAAAAACCTCTCCATAGTATTTTTAATTCATCCTTCAAAATGCTTATCAAAAGTCACCTTAAAGAAATCTGTAACTGGTCAGATCTCCCTCTCACATGCACTCAGCTCATACTGCTCTTCCTACCATTTACCATAACTGTGATTATTCACTGAAAATAAGTTTCATCCCAATAATTCTGTTTCCTGTCTGGTTTTCCACCAGATGCAAGCTTAATGAGGGAGGAGCCCTGTCTGTCATAGTAGTCTCTACTTGCACAAGGCAAAGCTCTAGAAACACAGATGGTCCTGAGGAAGCAGCCAGCTGCTCCCCCAACGTCTCCATCTCAGGAAATGTACCAACATCCACCAGAACCCTGGGGCCATCCTTGACTCCTCCCTCTTCTTTCTCCACAGACACAGCAATCACCAAATCCTCCATTACCTCTCAGGTCTGATCTTCTTTCCTCATTTCTATCTTGTTAGTCCAAGCCACAGTCATTAATAATTTATACCACTGCAGTCACTAAGTGGTGTCCTATCTCTTGACTTGCTCTCCTCCAATCCACTGAATCCATTTTGGCTCCTGTGTCCTGGCTGGTGTCGCTCTCCAAGCTCAAAACCTGTCACCTCCATGAAGTGTGCTCCACCTAACAGGTTGGATTCTTTAAATTTTCCACACCTCACCTCTCCTCCCCTGAAGAGCTGGCCTTCTAGTCTCACTTATCTCTTGCTTCACAGGGAAGCTTCCGGACTCTCAAAGTAGATGGATGCCTCCTTTATTTACACAGCATCACAATAAATACCTCTGCATTTTAACCACTATCTTTCACTTCTTTTTCAGGATCTGTTTCTACAGGTACTGTGATATTGACTGCCACATCCCCACTGCTTAAGCCAGCTTTGGAGTCACATAAATTATTGGTCAACCCAGAAAGGAAGAGAAGACAGAGTGAGCCTATGATGGGAGGTAATTTGTACAGCAAATTGGTGTGGATCAGACTGATCCAATTGCGGCGGGAGGGATCCCCTCCATTTCTAAGCCAAGAACCCTTGGAAAACACTAACTCCTTCCAATGAGGTGGTCTCACTCTGCAATCTTACCTCCTTCCTGCACAGATCAAAGAGCAATATCTACTTGTTTTCTGCAGACAGGAGAATCTCCACCCTGCTACCTCATCACATCAAATGTTGGCTAAAACAATTCATGGCCTTGGCCGTGCCTCTGGCCCTTTTCTTCCAAATGAGTTGGGTTGTGACCTCTGAAAATGATGCTTTTCAAAACCAGGTCCCCAACACCACAGGCAGACAGAAATTAACAGAGTGAGAGGTTCTAAATGGCATTCAGACAGAGGTCTCACTCCTCGATAATGACTGAGGTTGTGTAGTGATTACCGATTTCTTGAGAAGCAGGACTGGGGTAAACCCAATCACGAAAGCTCATTTACACTTCATGCCCTTTGCTACTTCACTACATGCTTGATAGAAAGAGAATGTTCCCATAACATGTGTATGACCAAATTGGCACTACAACTCAAAAGTGCTGGCAGATTCCTTAATGAGTTTTGTCTCCATTGCCAATACAGAAAATAAAGAATTTTTTTTCTGCCTGATCTAAGCTTCTTTTTGTTTATTTCACATGTAGTGGAAGGATTCTAGAGTCAGAAATCAATGACTTAATTCCTGTTTAGCTTTCTACTAGCCATATGGCTTTGGGCCACTTATTTAACCTCTCTGGTGATACTGACGTATACCATTCCTGCCCTTGTGTATCCTCAGTGCTCACTGTCTCTCGAGCTGGCCCCAGTACTAACCTGCTCTTCTCTCACTCTTCTTCTCAACCTCAGAGAAAGGCCCCTTCAGCTCAGAGCTAGCATTATCTCTTCCACATTCCCGGGCCTGCATACTTCCACGAGTGACAGACACAAACAGGAGAGCCGTGGCCCTCTGGCTTTACTCACAGGCCTGGGGTGGGGTCCTGCTGTAGATAAGGTAGAGCTTTGGCATTGGCGATGATCTCCTGCGGCAGAGACGAGGGCTCCATGCGCTGGAACATGGGTGCGTTTTTCTATAGAAGAAAGGAACTCAAATGACTATGGGAGAAAATGCAATGTACTTAGATAAAATAGAAACATAATTGATATCTTAATTGACTATTTTAACCTTTGACTAAGGTGACCAGATGTCCCACTTTTGGTGGGACAGTCCCAATTTTTGAAAGAATGCATGACAAGCTAGGGAATGGCGGGAGAATGGGCAGGGAATACGGTTTTCGGTGGCCATGTGGCTATTTAACCAGGATATGAGTTTTATATTATTTCTGTTAATTTTATAATGTTAAACTTTAATAACAAATAATTGTTGAGAACTGATTATCGGGAACTGCTTATCAAAGTTCAAATTGTTGATCAGTTATTAGAATTTGACCACCATTGTTTGGACTTAATGAACAATGGCATTTTTTGGGATTGGCAACGACGAAAACATTTTGTAACTCTCAGATGATACACATCGTACTGCGTGCTAGTAAGCTAGTTAAACAAGTGATGTCATTACAAATCAGCTATTCAGATAATTTAGGTAAGTTATTTATTTCATAAATACATGTTTTCTTGAATTTAGCAGACAGTACTCATATTATTTATATTTTTTAGTGGCAGCAAAAAGTCTAGCACTGGCCTTGAAAGTGACACTTACGACTATACATAAATTTTTTAAATTGTATTTGTAAATTGTACTTTGCGTTGTATGAAAATTTTTGTTGCTCCATATAGACCAAATTTTTCATCAAGATTCCCCCCACCCCCCGGTCAATGGTGTCCCGCTTTACCAATGTTAAAATCTGGTCATCTTACCTTTGACCCACTGCGCTTCTAATCCTCCGACCATAGAAAGTCCTGGACCCTGAACCCCAGGGATGCACAGGCCCGTTCCTCAGGAGCCTGCAGACTCCTGACGCGCACACCCTACTATAGTTTTCCCTCACCTGTTCCTCCAGCTGCTGCCTCTGCTTCTTCACCTTACTCTGCTTATAGTAGTCCATGATCATCATTGCTGCATAGATTTTGCCCACAGTCAGGTCAGAGGCTGAAAGACACAAATGTGGCATGGGAGGACCAGAGAGGAGACAGGTGGGGGAGAGGGAGAGCGCCTCAAGCTTTGTTCTCCACCCTCATGTTCGCCGGGCACCGAGCATGAAAAGTGAATATGTCCCCACATGTCTTCTCAGGGAGCTTCCACAGCCGCCAAGGAGGGAGAAGTCATCAGTAAGCATCACCTCCGCTGGTCTGGACTTCCGTCTCTAATAGCACCTCGTTCCCAACGGCAGGAGGGTTGGATCCATAGTATTATGGGAAGGAGAGAGCTACACACCAAAAACTTTCACCCGAAACCACAGTGACCCAATTTGAGAAAATGTTTTCAATTAATAATGACAAAGGGGACTTAAGAAGTGAGTGTTTTTTGTTTCCTAAGGATAAAAGAACAAGTTTCCCTTATCCCTTCCATCACTCTGTGTTCCTTTCAAAGATGTGGCCTTGGCATGCTGGGCTTACTGGTACCCAGGGGAAATGCCATACCTTTGGGCATAGGCACAAGCAGATCTAGCATCTTCTGGGACAGGTGTGGCCAGATGGCCAGGGTCTCTTTCTGTAGCTCCGAATCTAACTGCTGCCTGTCAGCACCGCCTGGTAAAATAAGATAAATGATGAATAAACAGCACAGAGACAGAACAAGGAGGGAGTGGAGCTGAACCGGCGTGGCACCATGTATTCTCAGGGGACATCCTGGCTCTTAGTGGCAGTGGATCTTACAATGCTGGGTCTTCCTGCTGAAGCGGCAGAACACAAAGTGAGTCCCATTCTAAATCCTGCCCCAGAGACCTGAGGCCCTGAGACCACGGTCAGCTTCCTCACTCATTGGAGCAGCCTCCCAGGTGCTCCACGTATCAGAGGGGAAATGAAAGAGCCACACGGCAACGTCTCCTGCCTCATTATAGGGACATCGATTCTTCCAGCGACTCTGGTCAGAGTGACCTGATTTTAAACAGGATTTGGATCAGGCAAGAGCAGGAGGGCTGGAGGCCCATTTGGAAGCAGTAAACCTCCTCTCTCCTAAGTCACTGAGTTAAAAATCAGAGGAAGCAAGGCCCGCCATGTCATGGGAGCCTTCCAAGGCATAAGAAAAGAGGACACAGTCCTAGCTGGTTTGGCTCAATGGATAGAGTGTTGGCCTGGGGACTGAAGGGTCCCCGGTTTGATTTCGGCCAAAGGCTCATGCCTGGGTTCCGGGCTCGATCCCTAGTAAGGGGCATGCAGGAGGCAGCCAATCAATGATTCTCTTCTCCTCTAAAATCAATAAATTTTTTTAAAAAAGAGGACACAATTAAAGCTCATTTGTTGAATAAACACGTACGTCTAAAATGCTTCCTATGTTCCAGACCCTGAGGCTCACACACTGTTCAAGCTGAGGGGAGCCATAGCGATGAGCAACCGCTCATTTTGCCAGGAGGCAGTGGGCAATGCTGTAGTGGTTGACTCTCAGGCTGACACTAGGACCCCGGTACTTGATTTCCGGTCACTGCATTGTTGGAGAGGGGACAGTTCAGACATCCCTGCCCTGCATGAGCCCCTCCAGGATCGCTGCTTCCTCCCCAGGCTCACCTTTGGCGATTTTGATGTCCAGAGCAGTCCGGATCAGAGCCATCAGGGTGGAGGTGAAGTGCACTGTCATGTCCTCGGCGACGGGCATATTCATCAGGACCAACCTCTGTGGGGGGAGGGAGAGAGAAACAGCAGGGGAAGACGTATCAAAAGTAGCCTTGGTGAGAGGGAAAGATAAGTGCAGAGGTCAAATGCAGAGACAAAAAAGAAGGGCAAGGATCCCCACCCCTCCCAACCCTACTCTCCCTACTTGGCATTGGAGGCTCATTGCTGCCATTTTGTGCAGGAATGATGCCAAATTCCAAGGGAAGGGGACTGGTTATTCTGTAGGACTCCCAGTCCTAAGAATGTCTTCCATAGGGACAGGAAGTGATTTCAAGGCTCAGGGAACGGAGTCAGCTCTGGGAGGGGGCTCCATTCCCTGTGGAGGCTGCTCAGCATTTCCACTTGTCCCGTGAACACTCCCCTAAAGCTCAGATGGAGACAGTGAGGGGGAGATTTTGCTTTCCTTATCTGACTTGAAGATACATCCTTATGCCCCCGTTTTGAGTCTTTGAGAGATGGAATTTGCCAGCACATGACTGCACATGCAGAAGTCCAGCTTATCCCGTGGATGAGGTGGAGCAGGAGGGAAAGGGCAGAGACAAACACGGTCAGGTGAGAGGGGTGGGGAGCAGTGGCGAGAGCATGAGAGGAGAGTGGACGAGGCAGGAGCAGAGTGGGCAGGCCGTGTTCCCCTTGCCCAAAGGAAGGGATCACACTGAAATGGCCAAATCCACTTCCCAGAGAGTATCTTGCTTTGGGAGTTTTTTCAATGTTTCCCCCAATCCCAACACGCCTTCTCTCACCAAGCTTCATCCCTGAACTTTGGAGAACTCAGGGCCACATTCCGCCATCTGGCATTTTGGAAGGGGGCCATCCTGAGCTAGAAGGATGCCAGCCCCTCAGCTGTGCACGAGGAGCCATGGGCCGGGGTGGCTGAGGGTCCCTAAAGGGCCCCCTTCCAATGAGATCCTCTCTGGACCTCTGCCCCCTGGGGAAGCAGGAGAAGGCCCAGGAGGAACCACCAGCCTAGCAGGGAGGGCTGTGTCCTCCCAAGGCGGGGTCCCTAAGACTCCACAGGGACTTTTCACTTCATGAGATGCCACAGACATGGTGTCGCGGAGGCTCAAGCCGGTGTCTTGTTTGTACCCGAGTTTCATCTCCCTCCCCGTCCCTAAGCACCTGGGTAAATGGCAGCACCGCTGTGGGGCCCCGGGTGCGTGAAGGAGCTCCGTGTTCTGGGTCCGTCTCACCGCTGAAGGAGTAGTAACTATTCCTAACTGTGGAGGGAAAACCTCAGGCCCCAAGGCTCCGAGTCCCAGAAGGGCAGTGGATTCCCAATGGACAATGCTGCTCTATGCAAACCAGGGGGAGTCCCCCTACAACTGCAGGGCCAGGCCCCCCCAACTCAGTCACGCCCAGAAGGGAAATCTAATCCCGAAGGCAACAGGGCCCTCGACCCCCTGCCCACTGTGTGGCCCAGAGAAGTGGGCGGAGGGACTGATGGGGACAGGGAGCGGCATCCGGTGTCGGGGTCCCGGGGTACTCAGCTGCCTCCCTTATGTTACCTACAAGGAGCCAGGCCACAGCCCCTCTCCACACCAGGGAGGAAGAACTTGGTTAAGAGTTTTCCTCTCTCCTGAAACC